TAGACCCAAGACAGCTGACCCAAACTGGCCAAAGGGGCATTCCATACCATCTGACATCATGCTAAACAATAGATAGGGGTGTGTATGTGTAACCGGGGTGGGGGGCCGGCTGCTCGGGAATAGGCCTGGCATCGGTCAGCGGGTGGTGAGCAATTGCATTGTGCATCACTTGTTTCTTACACATTATTATTAGTAGTACTATTGTTATTGTTATTATTATTTTTCTGTCTTAATAAACTGTCTTTATCTCAACGCACAGGCTTTACTTTCCCGTTTCTCTCCCCCCCTCCCAGAGAGGGAGGGGGGAGGGTGAGCGAATGGCTGTGTGGTATTTAGCTGCTGACTGTGTTAAACCACAACAGTTTGATTTCATGACTAACAATGAACATTCATCTACTATGAGGATCCAAACACATTGTAAAATGTAACTATTTATTTAATTTTGGCATTCACAAGAGCTAAACTCTAAACAAACGGCTCCTAGTACCATAGTGTCAAACAAGCTTTTCTGACTGCCACATCATCTCTAACAGAGACTGCTCAAAAACTGAATGCTTAGCATAGGATCTGTGTTAAAGCTCCATCCCTTTTCAGATGACATACGAGAAATAAAGTGAATTCTTCTAATCCAATGGCAATATCTTGGTACACAGTTACCCGGACTGTGATGGAACTGTACAAGTGATAAAGGTTCTATTTCTTTACTATACCTAAGGATTTCCATGTCACAGGCAATGTAAAATCTTTTCTTTCACAGCGATACACTACTTAAATTTTATTATGAGATTATCAGAAATGTGGGAGAGCTGAGAGAGGATTTGAGATCAGACTTCAACCTGAGCTGTTCAACTACACCAAGAATGACCAATTTCTAAATAGCAGAATTGAAAGGAAGCTTTGTCAAATAAAACCTGCCTTCCTGAGATCATTTACATTTGGAGAAGATTTTATTATTGAAAGAGGGAGTTAAGAGAATCTTATCAAGTAGAGAGAGAGTGCTCACAACATTAAATTAGGATGCTACTTAGTGTCTTTGCTAACTATGGTGCACTGTGCAAATTAACTAAAGCAAGAAGCCTTGGGCCCCTTTACCAAGGTCAGTCTCCTAATAAGAGTGTGAGCCTATCTTAAGAAACTGGTCCTGCGGATGGACAAGAGCCAAGGAGCAACTGAGTCTGTGCAGAGACAAGAGGTCAACTAGCGGTGACGAGGAAGAGTCATCAGTCTTCATCCCCACGACCCCCGACGACCACCACCAGAATACACTGCACAAGCGCAGATGGGAGGAGTTTATGGAAATGACTCCTTGGAACTAATTTTAATACAAAGCGGGGACAGGTTATGAATATGTATAGGTGTATTGTGAAACTTCATGCATATGTAACTCTTTACTGCATAGAACCAAGGCAAGTTGCTGTGTCAAGTGTGCACGACTATGGAAGGACTACAACCCCCCCCCCCCCCCCCCCCCCCCCCCCCCCCCCCCCCCCCGTACTGCCCAGCTCTGAATAAACATACCTACTTTACAATGTTACTGATTGTGGAGTCCGTTTCCGCAAGTCATTATCTGCTAAGTATCATCTTTTGTGAAAAGCCTGCATAATTGGGGAAGAAAGAGAGCTACATAAGAAGTGGTCTTCAATATGCGCACATGCACACACAAATACATGCACGTATTTCTGCAATATAGAAAACAGGTCAAAAGTAAAAATTAAAATTATTTCTAAATTTTTACATGGTATTCCTTTAAAGCATTCCCAACCACAAATTCCAAAAGAAAGCATCAAACCCTGTTGTGTATAAAATATATTTCATTTTAGATTAAGATTTCTAAAAGTGTAAACATCTATGCTACAGACTTCCATAAGTCATCTAAGTAACTCCCCAAGACATGAGTAGCTAAAAATATACTCTAGGAAAGGACTAATTAGGTAGTCTATTTTTCCAAGCTCTAATCCCAAAGAATGACCTCTCATTGCTTGCTGTTTTCCCTGCACCAATACGTAATTACTGACTTCATATATATAATAGCTATATTATATAGCTATTATATATAGATATATACATGTATGTATACATATATAATAGATCTCACTGTCATATCTCTGATTATAACCACAAGCCCGTGGCCAGTTCTCATTCTGCCATTCTGCCAAGGATCCCTAAAAGAACCCACCTGTCCTCCACAGTGATGGGTGACAGAGCCCAATCCTGAAACCACAGTTGTTTAAAATTTAATCATGTGGGCAATCCCAATGCAGTCTAGAAGAGAACTCCCATATTTAAAAATAAATCCACAAACTTGTGTCTTGAAAACATCATAGCTCCAAAATAAAAGTGAATCGAGTGGTCAAAAGCTGTTCCTGGAGGGATATCCGTTGTGTAACCATTTTTAAGAGGAAATGGACCTGACATTTAAAAAGTCAGGTGTCAAATGGCCAATATACAGAAATGATTAGGAAGAAAGATAGGGTGTCTGTAAGATGATGTTTTCCCAGCATTTTGGAGCTACCAACATAAACAAGAATTTAAGAAGCCATATCAGTCTTAATAATAGTTTCAAAGGACACTGACACTATGGGAAAAATGTAGTCAACCAGCCAGAGGTTGCTTTAGATTTACATATGCATGTAATTTTAGAACTGAAAGCCACTCCTGAAGGACTACAAGTTTCCCCACAAAATAAATATTCTAAATAATACATATTCTAATAAATATTCTAAAGTTCAAGCACTTGGTGCTTCAAGCACAAAAGCATGTCAGTTCACTTTCCAATACCAATAAAGCCAAAGGACAATAAGAGCACAAGTAGTCAGTTACTCATTAAGGTAATTAAGGAAATTTATGCTATCTACTACATTTACCAACAAATTAGCTGTATTAGAGGGCTTTCTTTACCAAAGAGATCAGAGCTAACCATAGACAATCACTGAATCTCACATAATATTTTGAAGAATCAGCTAATCAAAATAGGTGATTATCCCACTATATTTAGCACTGGTGCAACCTCACCTTGAATATTGTGTGCACTTCTGGGCTCCACAATATAAAAAGGATGTTAAGTTATTTGAAAGCATCCAGAGGAGGTCAACAAAGATGGTAAAAGGGCTGGAAAGCATGTCCTATGAGGAAAGGCTGAGGACACTTGGGTTGTCTAGTCTGGAGAAAAGAAGGCTAAGAGGTGACCTCATTGCTCTGTACAACTTCCTGAACAGGGGAAGTGGAGAGGGAGGTGCCAATCTCTTCACCCTGGTGATGATCTTTGAAGGTCCCTTCCAACTGAACTATTCTATAAACTACAATTGAAAGATGGGATTAGAAATTAGTGAGTGATTAATTAAGAATGAATATGTAGGCAACACTCATTGCTTAATATGTGCTACATTTGCGATGTGCCTGTGCTGCGCTTAGGCCTCCAGATAACAGGAGCCCCTGGGACCTCAAGAACCAGATCAAACCAACCTTATGGTTCGGACTGTGACCAAGGGCTCAGAGATAAAGAGGACTGTTACATGCAAGGCCTCAAGATAACAGGAGCCCCTCAGACCCGGAGAACCAGACCAAACCAACCTTATTGCCCAGATTGTGACCAAGGGCTCAGAGAGCATGCACAAGGAGACGAGATGAAAAGTTCAACCTTGATGAAGACATCTTACTTCATCCTCATGACCCTCGGTGCCCACCACCAGAAGGCACTGCGCAAGCTCAGAGGGGAGGAGTTTATGGAAATAACTTCTTGGAGCTAATTTTAATACTAAGCGGGGACAGGTTATGAATATGTATAGGCATACTGGGAAACCTCATGCATATGTAAATCTTTACTGCATATAACCAAAGTAAGTTGCTGTGTTAGGGGTACACGACTTTGGTGGGACTACCCCCCCATGCTGCCCAGTGCTGCATAAACATACCTACTTTACAATCTTACTGACTGTGGAGTCAGCTTTCCGTGAGTCACAATCAGTTACACAACCCTGGTATCATTCAGAATGCAACAAAAGTTTATATCACAGTACAGACATTTAAATGCACGTTAAAATAAATTATATTGTCAAAATAAAATAAAAAAAAAAAACACAAAACAAATACAAATAACAGGAAATATGAAGACAGCACAGATACTATATTAGCAACGTTTATACAAGAACAAATGTGCCCTATCAAATTTAATTACAGCATCTCTTCTCCAACAGCATAATTTATACTGCCATATCTGATGCTAGGAAAAAAAAAAAAAGTATATCTGAAAGGTCTCAAATAATGGAATAATTTTAAATGCTTCTATCCTAACACCCAACTCAGGCTCTGTGGCAGGATCCATGCACTCCTTTGAGTCACCTGGAGCAAGACAGTTCAGAAACTTTCTCCAGCAGTACAGTCCACTCAACGATTCCAACACCAGAAATACAAGGAGAAAATACAGAGAAGGAAATGGCTCCTCAACACTCCTGGAGACTCCAGAGACCCTCGGTTTTGGTAATCCTCTTTCTCTTTTCCCCGACATACTCCAAAGCTTTAGCTGTTTGCTAGGAGGTACAAAACTTGAACAAGATCCCCAACAAGTTTACTTGCTTTGGTATGACTCTTGCAGTTTTTACTCGGTCCCTTTTCTGGGGCCTCAGAATCTCCCCGTGTGCACTGCTGCTCCCATGTCACCCCCCATGGGAGCACCCTCAGGGCCGCGGGGCAACCACTCAATAAGGTCACAAGCACTGAGGGCAGAGACACCCCAAAGGAGATGGAGAGCAATATCACAACGCTGGTCTTTCCCCCCTTCCCTGTGTGTTTTACCGCCTGGTGTCCAGACACCCGTCGTGTCTCCCATGGGGACACATACCCGGCGGGACGGGCACAATTCCACTGAAGTGTTGCGGAGGGTGTCAACTTCTGGGACCTTTGGGGGAGAAGATGAACAAAGGGGTAGTCCTTGGGAGAGGGGGTGGAGAGAAAATATCCCTCTCCGTCCCAAAATACTTCCCCGCCTCATACGCACCACTTACCTGACACAGAGGCTCTGTTGCCCGGGGCAGAGATGTGGCCGCCTCTACCCTGGCTCTGAGTTCCTTGCTCCGGGAGGTTCGGCCTGTGTAGGAGTGGCTGCTGGCAGAGGGTGGGGGGAGGAGGCTGTTGTAAATGAGCGGCGCCCCCGTTCATGGCGAAGCTGAGGAAGCTGGAGTGAATCGGGGGAGTACAGGAGAAGAAAGGGAGTTTGGGGGGGGGGGGGGGAACGGCTGCAGCAGCGATGGGGGAGGGGGAGAAGGAAAAGAAGGCGGCAGGCGACAGCGCAGGAGGAGGGAGAGGAGAGATGGCAGAAGGAGCCACCAATCTTCTGGTGAACCCGACTCCTCTATCAGCCTCTCCCACCTGGCGAAGGGGATCCGATCGATCTTCAATGTCGTCCTCCCCGGACTTTGCAGATTCCCGGTCGTGGTTCTGCAAGCAGGCGGAAGGAAAGAGGCGGGAGTCGAGCTGCACCGCGGAAGGTTCTGAGTTGGTGGCGATCAGCATCACTTCCCCCTTCCCGCCTGCCCCCAATCGGTTGGCGGCAGCCGGGGTCCCTGTCGCCCGGACAGCACAGAAGAGGTGGCAAGCATGACAACAAATTCCCTTTTGGTCTCCCCTTCCCTGCGAAGTAGCAGCAGTGGAACAAGGGGGCTGCCACCACTTATTGTCCAAGTAAGGTGTCCCCCTCATAAGAGGGCATAATAATTTGTATCAAGAAGATGGTTGATGTTAATAAAGAAGGGGGAGATGTGGGAGTGTGGCCATGGGGGTCGGCAAGCCCCATGGTTGATGATAACATCAGACTCTTAACAATGAGGCCATCAGGAATGTTTCTGAGGAGAGAAGGAAAATAGGATGAAATATAGTATACTGATGTGTTGTTTCATCTTAGAGGGAAAAGGAATGGAATTAAGTTGGCCCCTGACTGAGCCTTTGGTGTTGGCATGAGAAAAGTACAAGCTGGAGAAAGATAAATGAAGTGTTAAAAGGGTTGTTGAAGGTGTTAAAGGTTGTGTGGTATGTTCAAACAGAGCTGTTTGAAGTTGAATGAGCAGGGAAAGAGGATGTAGGAATGTTAATAGTTCTGTCTCAACCCTAGGCTGAGATCTCAAAACCACGGGTGTGAGCCCTCTGGGGCAGATGGTCCATGATGGGTCCAAGAGAGTTGTCATGGAAACAGGAAAAGGCATTTTTATTTGCAATGCTTGAAATTTAAATTGAGAAAAATGGTTGGAATTCATCAATTTTTATACTTACCCAGTTTGCCAAGGTCCTTCTTAGGAAGAGTCTTGCTGGAAAAACTGGATGCAAAAATTACTTTTGAACAAGGAAAAATGGAAATAAACTTTTGACAAAATTAGAAAACAGTCAAGTTTGGTTCACGGTACTAGATTGAAAGGATGCCTTTTTCTGCCTGCCCATGGCATCTGAAAGCCAGAAATTCTTTGCCTTTGAATGGGAAAATCCTAATAGTGGACGAAAAACTCAGCTTACTTGGATTGTGTTACCACAGGGTTTCAAGAATAGCCCCACAATATTCAGGAAACAACTAGCCTGTGATCTTGAAGCTTGAAAGACCCCTTCGGGAAAAGGGGACACTGTTGCAATACACAAATGATAGCTACTGAAGAAGAAATGGAATGTGTATAATGGACTTACTAAAGTTTTTCAGCACTAATTCTGTGAACCCAACCTCTTTCCTTAGTCATGTTTACATCAAGACCATGGACACGGAATACTCCAGCTGACCAGACTTAAAGGATACACCCCTAGAAGATGTGGAGGATTGGTATATAGACAGCAGCAGCTTTGTCCGCCAGGGATTTTGCCTCACAGGATATGCGGTAACAAACATCATCCCAAAAGGTAGAAATCATCGCCTTGATAAGAGCTTTTGAGCTGGCAAATATTTGGACAGATTTGAAATAAGCTTTTGGTGTGGTGCATGCACATGGGGAAATTTGGAAGGAGAGAGGACTTTTATTTTCCTCAGTTAAACATATAGAAGAGATTGATAGCAGTTATTAGGGAAGAAGGAAAAAGGAGGCCTAGACAGCTAGGCAAGGATCAATGTGCCCTATGTAAGAAATTCAGGCATTGGAAAAAAAATGCCCGGAACAGAAAAAAAATGGAAAAGGGAACTGGGAATTATTACATTGTAGCGAAGGGGGCAACTGGCCAATCTGAAAGAGCATATTTCTGCAAACCGTTGAAATATAAATTTGGGAACCAGTGAGGCATTCACAAGTTCCTATACATGCCCAACTCTCCAGAGTCACTCCTAGGGAGAGATTTATGGGAAAAATTACAAGAAACCATATCATTTTAAAACGGGAAGATTATTCTGGAGGTAAATAATCAAAGGTATGTGGAAGTGTTGAGTTTGATGATGACGGCTACTGAAACTAAAAAGGAAATTAGCGAAGAAGGAATTAGCCTGATAATTGAAATTTTCTTACAATTAGGGTTGCTAAAAGAGTGCCAGTCTGACTTCAACACTCCAATTTTCCCTGTTTGAAAACCTGATGGATCATATTAGGTCATACGAGCTGTTAATCTTTACCCTGTGGTGGTGTAGTGGGTTTACGTGGCAAGGCTTTGGTAGCAGGGGGCCATAGGGGTGGTTTCTGTGAGAAAGATCTAGAAGCTGCCCCATGTTTGGGAAGGGCCCCATTGTTTTCCAAATCTGAGCCAATAAGCGATGTTGTTTTGCGCCTCTGTGAGAGCATATTTAAGACAGGGAAAAAACTGCTGCGCCACACAGCAGCTGGGAGAGTCAAGGGAGTGAGAAACAGCCTTGCAGGTGCCAAGGTCAGTGTAGAAGGAGGGGGAGAGGTGCTCCAGGTGCCGGAGCAGAAGTCCCCTGTGGCCTGTGGTGAGGACCATGGTGAAGCAGGATGTCCCCCTGCAGCCCATGGAGTACCACGGTGGAGCAGGGTTTCACGCTGCAGCCCGTGGAGGAGACCACGGTGGAGCAGGTGGCCCTGCACCGACAGAGGCTGCCGCCTGTGGAAGACCCCTGCCGGAGCAGATTCCGGGCCGGACCTGTAGCCCGTGGAGAGGAGACCACGCAGGAGCAGGTGATCTGGCAGGAGCTGCTGCCCGTAGGGGAGCCAGGTTGGAGCAGTTTTCTCCTGAGGGATGGACCCCGTGGTACGGACCCATATCTGGAGCAGTTCTGGAAGAGCTGCTGCCTGTGGGAAGCCCACGCCGGATCAGTTCGTCAAGGACTGCATCCCGTGGGTGGGACCCCACAGCACAGGGGACGAGAGTGACCGAGAAGGAGCGGCAGAGAAGAAGTGCTGTAGACTGACCATAACCCCCATTTCCCCGTTCCCCTGCGCCGCTCGGGGGGAGGAGGTGGAAGAGGGTGGATGGGGGGGGAGGTGCTTTTGGTTTCTTTCCTTTGTTTCTCACTTCTCTAGCTTGTTAGTAATGAGCTTACTATCTGTCTAATCTTACTATCTGTCTTCTTATGCTGAGTCTGGTTTGCCCGTTACACTAATTATTGCGTGATTTTCTCGTCCTTATCTCAATCCTTGAGCCCCTTTCACATATTTTCTCCCCATTCCTCTTTGAGGAGGGGGAGTGAGAGAGCGGCTGTGGTGGAGCTCCGCTGCCCACTCGAGCGGAACCACGACAGGTGGCAAACCCCTATACTTTACTAACATGCTTAACACCAGAGCTAACCACGTTTATTGTTTTAGATCTGAAGGATGCCTTCCTTTGCCTCCCTCTCCATGAAGCCAGACAGAAAATCTTTGCATTTGATTGGAAAAGCCCTGCGAGTGGGTGCAAAACACAGCTCACATGGACAAGGTTGCCTTAGGGCTATAAGAACTCACCCACCTTGTTCGGAGAACAACTTGCAAAGGACTTGGAGACCTGGGAAGCCCCATCAGGAGAAGGAAGGCTGTTGCAGTACATAGATGACTTCCTAATAGCCACCCAGACAGAAGAAGCATGTGTGGCCTGGACATCCTAAGCCTCCTAAACTTTCTGGGACTACAGGAGTACAGGGTATCGAAGAAGAAGGCTCAGGTGGTAAAGCAGAAGGTGACCTACCTGGGTTATGAGGTTAGTGCCGGACAATGGACCTTGGGGTAAGATTGTAAAGAAGCGATATATTAAACCCTGAAACCCGAGACAATAAAAGAACTGTGAACCTTTTTGGGAATGACGGGATGGTGCAGATTGTGGATCTGTAATTATGGATCGCTTGTAAAACCGCTTTATGTGTTCATTACAAATGGGAACAGGGACCTCCAATGGACAAAAGAGGCCAACGCGAACCTTTGACCAACTAAAGAAGGATCTCATGTCAGCTCCAGTTCTGGGACTTCCAGATGTAAATAAACCATTCTTCCTCTTCTCCCATGAGAAACAGGGGATTGCCCTGGGAATACTAGCACAGGACCTGGGCCCATATCAAAGGGCAGTTGCTTATTTTTCTAAGCAGCTGGATGCTGCTGCCAAGGGATGGCCGGGATGCCTCAGAGCCGTTGCAGCAGTGGTGCTAAATATCCAGGAAGCACGCAAGTTCACCTTGGGACAGAAAATAACTGTGCTAGTGTCTCACACAGTGTCCACAGTGCTGGAAGTGAAAGGTGGTCACTGGCTTCCCCGCAAAGGTTCCTGAAATCAGCAGAAACCAAGGGAAGGCAGTACACCATGACTGCCTAGAGAACATTGAAGCTACCTACTCCAGCCGTCCAGATCTGAAGGACACTCCTTTTGATGATATGGAAATATGGGAGCACCTACGTCATCAGCGGAAAACAACATGCTGGGTATGCAGTTACCACTTGCAAAGACATAATAGAATCTGGAAAATAAACATCTACACGGACTAAATAATGAGATTATTGGAAGCAGTTCAGCTGCCTGAAAAGATAACAATCATGCACATTAAGGCACACCAGAAGGTGAGCTCAGAATCGGAGGAAGGAAATGATCTGGAAGACAGAGAGGCAAAAGAAGCAACAGAAGGTGAGGTAGCAATGGAGGGGGCCCTGATTCCAGACAGGCAAATTCCCCTTGAAGGTAAGCTTGTATATAAGAAAAAGGATAGAAAACTAATCGAAAGACAAAAGAGAAAATATAACCAAGAGGGATGGGCTATTGCCAAAGAAGGGAAGGGAATGTTATAAATTAAGTCTCAACTCAATCTGAATTTTGTAATATTTATACTTATAAAAGGTATAAAAGGTATAAAAGGCAAGTAAACAGCGCTGGGTGTGTGGGGGGTCTATGCTCCACCAACACGCACACACGAACATCAAACATTCTAAATATAAAGAACATTGTTTTTACATACTAAACTCGAGTATGCCTATACATATGTACGATCAGAAAAGGTAACAAACAATCCTTTTACTTCCATGACTCAACAGTCTCCATTTTCCATTCCTTTTCTTGATTACAAACAACAGTATCCATTTTCCATTCCTTTTGAACAATATGTCTCGCTTTAAGTTGTCAAGCAACTTGATCTTCGGGCCCTACATATCCCGTTCCTCCTGGATTGAAGAAAAGCATATCCATCTCCTTTTCAAGGCCAATAGGGCCTGGGTCAAAAGGCACGTCCAGGTCAGCAGGGGGCGTAACAGCAAAAGCCTTCGATGGCTGTAGCAGCAGAGGGGCCGATG